ATGTATGGCTATCGACTAGAAACGGCTTTTTTTTTTTTTTTTTACAAATTCGTTTTCGTTTTTCCTTTTCTTTTTTTTCTTTCATTTTTCGTCTTCATTTTTCTTTTCTTCTTTTCTTTTTTTTTCTTTTCTTTTTTTTTCTTTTATTTTTTACAAATTCGTTTTTTTTTTTTTGTGTGTGTGTGTGGAGATTTTTTCTCCTTTGTTGAACAGTCGCCAGACAAGAGTAAGATTATGTTATATGTTCTTTCACTCGATTTTCAATTCTGTTTATCTCTCTCTACTGTTTCTTAATCCTTCTGTCTTTCATTCTTTCTTTTCTCTCCTCATGCTTTGTCTTTGATCTCTTTCTCTCCTGTATCTTTCTCCCTCTTTGTGTGTTTCTTTCCACCTCTCTCCCTCTTTTCTCTTCCTGTTACTTTTTTCTTTCTATTTTTCACTATCATTTTCTTCCTCTTTTACACATTTCTTTTAACATATCTCTTTTATCCCTAAATCTTCGATTATCACCTGTTCATTATTTTTTAAAATCATCTGCTCCCCTCTCTCTCTCTCTCTCTCTCTCTCTTACTGTCCTTTCTTCCCTCTCTTTTATTCTCTTTTCTTCTTTCTCTCCCTCTCGTCCTTATTTTTTTCTCTTTCAATGTCTGTCTCTCATTTTAAAATTTTCATTTAAAAATGATAAAGTTAATCTTTTCTTCTTCTTAACAGTAACGGATTATTCTCTCTCTCTCTCTCTCTCTCTCTCTCTCTCTCTCTCTCTCTCTCTATCTCTATCTCTCTCTTTCTTTCTTTTTCGTTCTCTCTTTCTCGTTCTTTCTCTTTCTTTTTTCTATATCTATTCATCTATTCAAATCTCTATCTCTATATCACAATTTACCTACACTCTTTGTTATTCTCTCTCTCTCTCTCTCTCTCTCTCTCTCTCTCTCTCTCTCTATCGATACTTCATTTCATCTCCGTTTTCACCTTTCTCTCTCTATTTCTCCCTTTCTTTCTCTATCTCGTTCTTTTATTCTCTCTTTCTCGTTCTTTCTGTTTCTTTTTCTCTATCTATTCATCTTTCTATCTCTCTATATCAAAATCTTCCTACGTTATTTTTTTACTCTCTCTATCGATACCCCAATTCATCTCCCTTTCTCTTTTCTCTCTCTATCTTTTTTCTCGCTCTCGATTTGTCTATATCTTCGTTTCTTCTCTCACTTTCTCGCTCTCATCTCCCTGTTTGAATTTATAACATCTTTTTACGTTGATTCTCTCTCTTACCACTCTCTCTCTCTCTCTCTCTCTCTCTCTCTCTGTTTTCCACTCCCTCCCTCTATCATTCTCACTTTCTCCCTTACTGCTTTCTTCATTCCCTCTTACTACCTCTCTTCTTTTTTTCTTTCGTCCATTTTAATTGCTTCTTGCCTTAGCGTTGAAATCAATTGACGCAAATTGTTTCTCTTTCCACCCTACGCCCTTCTGACCATTCATTCTTCGTATCAGTGACATGCGCCAGCGGCGAATTGGGGGTAGGGGTGCGAGAGCTGATCAGTGGGTCAACAAACTCCCCCACCCCATTCCAGTCTTTTGTTTATCCTGTAATTCGATCATCGTTATTGAATTTCCATAATCACGGACAGATAAAAGGAATCGACAGAAATCATGTCTAATTGACATCCTTCCCGCACCAAAAAAAAAACCCAAAAAACAATAAGAAATATTAAAGAGAGAGAGAGAGAGAGAGAGAGATTAAAAATATGTTAAATGAAAAAGAAGCCTGACGTGGTTGCAGTTGAATGTGAGACTTGAGACTGATGCTGTGGGCAGTGAAGGGTGGGGGTAAGTATCCCACACATCAGGGTGCTGATATCCCGCAGAGGTTAACGGTAAAAGTAGTTCCTTTACTTACACCTGCATCGCGAAACGGTCTTGTTCCCAAAATTGAAGATTGGGAGAGCATAGCGACTGTCTAACCAGACTGGTTCGCAGCAACAGAGAAATAAAAATATTTATTAACCCTTTGCCTGTCCTGCGCATCATATGTAAGGCACAGGTCACGTGATTTCCATGTCAGTACATCATATGTGGTGCACACAAGCCATGATATTAAAAGAGTGGTAAAACTAAGGACGCTCAAGAAAAGAGTCTTCTATTGAGCAGTACGTCTAAGGAAAGACCTAATCTAATATTTTGTGTACCATATATGACCACAGAACGCTTGACTGATAATGTAAGGACTCAAATGAAAGACATTTATTTTTCCAATTTATTGAAATGATTATAACCTTTGCATCACATGTGATTCACAGAGCGTAGTGTTAATAACTTATGAATTGTACGCTCTGTGCGTCACGTGATGCACGGGTTTTTATTATGTGAAACACTATATATCAGCACATTCTATTTGCCAAATAACCTGAGGTGCCTTGCAATAGTTATAAATCTGAAAACAATCATGAACGTTTGGATAGTACAGACGAAAATGTCCTGGACAGACAAAGGGTTAAGTGAGAGGCTGGCGTAACGGTTATCAGCGTGGGAAATGAAATCGGCAAGTCGAGTTTTAATTCCGACTTAGTTCACTTTCGTACTGCTACTGTCAAGAGCGGTCGGAATACATCTTTTCTTCTTCTCCCCCACCCACTACCTCTGCCAAATGCTAATAAACAATATGCGTTGTTCTGGTTGGCTAAACCCGTGGATGACCTAACCGCTAACCCAGTCATTAAGTCCATCCAAATAGTTTTACATTTATCGCTAAAAATTACTGTCGATAAATCAGTTTTCATGTACTTCCTCACCCAACTTTCATGTTTCTCTTTGTGACGCTTAGTTACAGGTGTGAGCGTGATTGCCTTCATATCATTACTAATTCTCTTTTTAGACGTTTGCAACAAGAATTTCTTTGATTATTTTCTTAATTTCCAAACTATTTGTCTTCCTTAGTGACCTTTAAATTCTGATCGATTTCATTTTTTCACAAGCATTTTTAGTTTTTTTTTCTTACCATGGCAGTATTTTCAAATTATTTTTTTGATTCTGCTATGATTTTCAAATTTCACCTTCCTATCATTGAATAACTTTGCAATATTTTGTTTCCTTTTAAAATTAGAAATCGAAAAGCCGAGTTTGAATTCCAGTCGAGTTCTTTACATTTCACTTACACGCAAATAGCCTTGGGAAATATATGAATCCATCTCTTCTCCTCCCAGCTATGGGTTAAATAGTAGACCAAATATCTAGAAATTTTGTTGATGCGTTATTAACTCGCAAAAAAAAAATATTCTTACAATCCAAAATATATTTCGGCTTTAAATATCCCACAAAGTGTTGATAAACCGTAAAAAAACAAATCAATTAATCTATTCTCTTTGAAGTTCTATCGTTCTTACGATCCATGGCAACATTATATATCTGAAATTAAATACGAGACATCTATGGGGAGTTTCGAAGTCTATATCTACTGACTAGTTTCTTACTCATATCGTAAACAAAAGTAATTACAGGTTGAACGGGTATTGTGCATCTCTTAAATAGGGCAATTGAGACTTACTTTGCTGTGTTGGCTTTTCAGTACCTTAATGGTGTGACACGCTTGCCTTGAACGTGGTTTCTCCGATGAAAAATGGAATACACTTTCGATTATATTGGCAGGTACATATACTTATTATTACTTCAAAAGTCATTATGGTGGATACTCGTATTTGAAATAGACGCCCCATTTTTATTTTAAACAGTGTGCATTACGTCTAAACATTGCTCCAACCACCCATTTACTTAACCTACCTAAAGAGATTGACTAAATGGATGGCGGAGCAAGGTTTAGGAAAGATAACAAAAAGACAAAATTTATTGAGCTACAAATGACAGAAAATTGTAGTGAGCCATGATCGCCAACGTCCTGAAGGGACACGGCACATAAAACAAGAAGAAGTATTACGTCTATCAGCCTGCGAAATCTAGAAATCATAATAAAGAAAAATGTGCTCTCCGGCAGTGATCGAACCTGCAGACTCCTTTGTAAGAGAAAACATTGTTTGGTCTTTCGAGAAAAATATTGAATTCCACTGAATGAGGAAGTGTGCTTTTCTTAAAAGGAAAAATAGAGCCTTTCTGAACTGTGATGCTGTCTGTAGCAGAGTGGTAAACGCACGCCGGATCAAATGGTGGTTTCTTCTATAAAGGAGGAGGCAGGTTCTTTCCTTGCCCGAGAGCATATTTTATTTATTAATATTTCACGAATGCGCAGGCCGTAATACACATTGTTTAAATAGACGTAATACACACTGTTTAAAATAAAAATAGGGCGTCTGTTTCAAATACGGAGTATCCACTATAATGACGTTTGAAGTAATTAAAATGTTAGTTTAAAAATACATCCATTAATTCTTTAGACATGTATGAAGTCTAATAAAAAATTATCGGTACTTTTATTATAAAAAGAAAACTACAACACATATCAATTCGGTATTTAATTTCCGTCGAAGTAGTCCGCTTCTAAACACTTTATCCAGTGTCGTTTCCATTGATAGAAGCATTCATGGAACTCCTTTTTAAGGATAGCGAGCAGCTGCCTCGTCACGTTCTCTCTTGGATTTCCTTGACGTCTTGAAATCATGTTCCTTTCAAGTGAGATTTGATTTCTGAAGAGGAAATTGTCGCGAGATCTGGCGAATAAGTTTATTGTCGGACTTGAGTAATTATGCCCTTGGCCAAAAATTGCTGCACAAGCCATGGTCACTGATGAAACCTCTGTAGAGTGGTGAAACGACCACACTCTACACACTTTCCTTCCAAACACTGCTATAAACAACGAAAGTGAATGAGAACGTTATAATTTAACGTGTATGCGCGACAGAATCCAAGGTAAATCTGTGTCAAGCAGTTTCACTCTGCGTACCTTACCTCTGTTACCATAGCAACAGGCCGGATACTTTTTTAACAGACCTCGTATTTATAATTTACAATATCATAAAATAAACCCTGCTATTTGATACTAAAATCTCACATTATCACATAAGTTATAAATATTTTTAATAAAAAAGATATTATAAGCTGACGTTCGCATTGTATATTTATTTATTTAAGTATGCCTGTTAATAGCAAAATCTATTGGTAAAATAGTGTTTATTCTGAACAATTTAAATCAGCGTTTTATATTCTGGCCGTTTTGGTAACACAACGCTGAATAATGATTTTTAAAAGTGTCTTGCTTCGTTTTATGGTGTAAAGTCAATTTTTTTTATTCTGAAAAGTTTTTGGGGCGAGTGTTGAAGAGCTCAAAGAGAAACGTAAAAAATAGGAACACGAAATTGTTTTCCAGTTTTAACAGCCATCATTACTTCTTTTTTTTCCTTACCAAACACTTGTTTTCATTCTATATTTCGTGCCCCTTCAGGATATCAAAGATCGTGGTTCTCCTCAACTTTCTGTCCCTTCTCGCTTTTAGCAATTTTTGTCTTTTTTTTATCTCTACCAATCCATGTTCTACCAACCGTTTACACAAGCTCGTTAAGTATATTATTATCTGCTTACCTTTGTCCCTTTTACTTTCAAAATGTCCTGTGAGTGTTAAATTCTCCAAGCCCTCTTTCTTCCTTATGTACCCTAGAAATTTCAATTTTCTTTTTCTGATTCTCAGTATAAGTGTACTTTTTGGTTCTATTTTCTCTCAAACATCCTTGTTTCTCATATAGTATTCTCAGCATCCTTCTGTAGAACCACATTTCTGTTGCCTGAAGTTTCTTCTTCATCTGTAAGAAGATTGTCCAGCATTCACTGTCATACAGCAGGACTGATATTACACAACAGTCTGGTACTCTTTTCTTTGCTTCTAACGAAAAATTTCATGTTTCTTAATACTTTGCTAAGCTTTTGGACGACATCTTTAAAACTTTATAATGTTCATTCTTCTTTTTTTTTTTTAATTTCCTCTTTGCCTGTATCCATACAGGTTTATTTTCATTTCTGATCTCTTTAACCTGCTAATCACACGCTGAAAGATCATTTGCATCCATTCTTTGATGCTTTTATTCATGGAAGGCATGAACTCATAGTTATTTCAGTGTTCTCTCGAGCTTTAGATGGAAACGAAATTATACTTTATTTTCCCCCTTTAATCAATTTTACCCGTCACTCTAGACCATTTCATCTTTTGTTCTTTGCGCCACAGCTTTCTCAATAAGAAATGTGAATGTATCCTGTCAAAGTTAACAATGGCTATGACAAGGTTGGGGGGTAGCAT